GGTGGGGAGAGGGCCTTTGTGTCTTTGGGGTTGAACATACAAGTTCCTCAATCAGAAGAAGAGAGAGGGATTCCAGTCCTATTCCAAACTTTAACTTGAGAGGCGGCCATGGTGGTGTGCCAGGAGTACTTAACCTGGCATCTGTAAACTTGTTTAAGAAAAAAAACAAAACCCAACTCTCAAACCAAATTTTAGTTATGTGTTTTCTTTTATGCATTTGAAAACATTCTGAGAAGGGGTCCATAGACTTTACTTCCAGGCTGCCCTAGGGATGTAAGACACACAAAAACAAAGGTTAAAAACTGCTGGTAAATCTATAGCATCTGTGTTCAAGATCCACCTCAGACGTTTCCTTAGATGTATGATCCTGGGAAAGTCACTTTACTTCAGAGTCTCAGTTTTCTCATCAATAATAGAATCTAATTCATAGAAGTGTTGGGAGAATCAAATAGACCTGAACTCCAATCTAGCCTCAGACACTAGCTGTGTGTTCCTGGACAAGTCACATAACCTCTGTCTGCCTTGATTTTCTCAATTGTAAAATGGAGATGATGATAGTAATACTTTACACAAGGGTTTTTTTTGTGGTTCAAATGAGATTTTGTAAAGCACTTAGCACTGTGTGCCAGGAGCATAGTAGGAGCTTAATAAATGGTTGTTTCCTTCCTCTCTCCCTTCCTTCCTTCCTTCCTTCCTTCCCTCCCTAGGAAGAGAAGGATTCAGATCCATAGCCAGTCCAGTAACCCAGCACTGCAAAAAGTGCCATCAACCATTGCTTTCTTACTAGATCTTGTGCCAGTTTCATGCCAGTGTTAAGTTGTCCCAAATGCTTTGTCTCCTATTTCACTCCTTTAGGCTGCCATCCCTCAACCAAGGTGCCCTTTGGGCTTAGCTTTCCCTGGGAGATTAGAGCAGAGAAGGGGAAAGCCAGGGAGGATGCTGGAGGCATTGACCAAATCCTGTCAGTGGTAGGGACCCTATGGCTCACTTCTGCTCTAGGTATGGCATGCCAGGACCCTGGGTTGTAGCTGAAGGGAAAGGCTGGCTGATTCTGGCCCTTTATCCAAGGTTGGAATTTGACTTGGCAAGGAAACAATTGTGCATATGCTCAGGCTTTACATTTCGGGTGGAAACTGGAGGCTGGAGGTTCATAAGTGTCAGGAGATACAAGGAAGGCCTGTGTTCAGTGTGTGGGCTGGGGGAATGTGGTGTGGCCTCCGGAGCCAGGCCCTGTCTCTGTGGGATCTGCCCAAGCCAGGCTCCAGCTCGAGGAATGTTTTTTAGTGATGTTCATTCCCTGGGCTAGACCCAGCTAGGACATTAGCCATGCTTTGGAGTAAGTAGAAGAAACAAAATGTTCCCAAATCTGGACCTATAAACTAAGAGTGGCAGTTTTCACACACACACACACACACACACACACACACACACACACACACACACACACACACACACACACACACACACACCCCACACCATGAAAATCCCCCCAGTTACCAGACCTCACCCTTAGGTAATTAGGTAACTGACTGGGTGGACTGGTTTTTATTTACCCGAGTGAAATGTGTATATATACATGTAAACCAGGAAGTAAGAGTGGGCAATATACAGTGTGAGACCAGTAGGCCCTGTTCTTTTTTCTATGTGTGGCCCACTCATTCCTAGGCCATACCCTGGTCTCTCTCCATAACACAGTTAAGCAGGTACAACCTGGACCCCACTTGAGCTGCTTTATTATTGATGTTCCCTAAGGACCTTGCTTTCTGACAGTTTCACCTATAAGGTGGTCCCCTAGCATTCCCGTCCCTCTCCAACTCCCTCCCCAACACACACACACACACACACACACACACACACACACACACACACACACACACACACACACACAGTGTTCTAGGCAGAATGAGCAAACGTTATTTGTCGAGAGCCCAAAGAGCTGACTTTATTAAAACAAAGCACAAAAGCGTAAAGAAATGTAACTATTAAGTGTTTGTCTTGGAATGACCTCCTCTCAGGAGCCCCAGCTGAGGATTCTGATTAAAAATAGATCTGAGTAGCACTTCCTGCTCTACTGATAGCAAAAGCTCTGCCTTGGCTCTGACCTCTCCTCTCTGAAATCTGCTCCATGTTTCCATAATGCTAATTGAGTTCTTCTCTAGGCCTACTCAAAGAATCTTTATGCCGGCTGCAGACAATCCCTACGGCTGGCCGCCTTCACCCTTCATGGAGCAGGCCGGAAAGTGCCAGGATTTGTGTGGAAAGTTCTCCGGAGGAGGCCAGCTGGCTGGGCCCTGTCATGTCAGGACTCTAGCAAGGAGCTCGGCTTTCTAACACCTTCCACCCCCATTGCCTCAAGGAGGCTTTGCCTCCATAAACCATCAATGAAATGGGAAGAAAAGTAGTGGACACGGAGGCGGAGGCGAGTGGGACGATGATATTGCATATTATCAGGTGTGAGTAGGACAGATACTTATCACTTCAAGGAAGGCAGAAGATATATACATAGAGGCAGGAGATTATAGTGAAGAAAAACTCGGCTCCAGATCAGAAGGTATATAATACTTTCTCTGTAACTTTGGGCAAGTCACTTCAGCTTTCCACTTCTAGTTCTTCCTGAAAAATAGGTACCTGCCTACCAGGTAGCATTACTATCTTACATTCTACACACAGCTACCTAAATGATTTTCCTAATTTGTGAGTCTGACCATGTTATTCCTGTGCTTGACAAACACCCTATTACCTCTAGGATCAAATTTGCACAAGATTCCTGGTTGGCATTTAAAATCCTTTGTTATTCACATCTTTTTCCAGCCTTATTAAACATTACCCCACTTCCCACCCCCTTCCACACACTGGTTCAGCTAAACTAGGGGTTTTACATGTCTTTCATTCCATCTCTCATCTCCCATCTCCATGTCTTTGCACAGCAAAGTCTTCCATACCCGGAATGGACTCCCTCCTCCCCTCTGCCTCTTAGAATCATCCATATATAGGCTTCAAAGCTCAGCTCAAGTGCTGACTTATAAATGAGGTTTTGAGTGATCTGTGCCTCTCCCCTCTTTTCACTTTCCCTCCATCCAGCTACTGGTATCTTCTCAAATTAGCATGTATGCATATGTATGTATACATGTTACCTTTCCTGATGAGAGTGTAAGCTCCTTGAGGGTAGAGACTGTTTCCTTTTTTGTCTTTGTAGCTCTAGCACCCAAGCACATTGATATACGAGAATTAAATAAGATAGAGTTTAGAGCCTTTTGTCTTTGAGAACAGCAGAAAGCAGCATACAGAATAATATGTTACTGTGATTAATCATGTTGTCAAGGAGTTTCAGGAGCTATTACTGACTTCCTATTGTGATGCTCTCATTTTTTTAGGAAGGAGGCTAGGAGGTGAGAAGCCATGAGAAGTCACTGAAGAGTTATGCTGTGATGTGGGGGTTCTTAATACCCAAACTTGTCCTTTAAGCTGTGTCTCACTACCTGACATAGTCAAGAGACTGCTGGACTTTGAACCAGGACACAGAGGTTCACATCTTACCCTTGATACTTACTACGGACCTTAGTAAATCACTTGCTTAGCTCCAGGCAATTGCTCAGGATTTATCCACTAAATCACCTAAGGGTTGCAATCTGCTTTGGTGAAAGGAGTTATTTCTCTCTTTCCTGGCCCTAAACTGTCCTTCACCTCCACCATTAATAAGTTTCTGACAGTTCCACAAAAGGTTCTCTTCTCCAAATTCATCTCATATTTGACGTTTATAATCTCTGATGCCCAGTTGAGGATGTAACGATAGACTGTCCTGTCTTAACTTTTGTTTCATTTGTATTAGTCTTGTTTCCCAACTAGATTATAAACCCCTTTAGGGGTAGTGGTCATGTTTTAGACTTTATTTTATGCCTAACAGCAGCACCTGGCATCGTATCATCCTGGGTACATAACATCACCTGACAAATATTTCCTAAGCTGGAGCCTTATTTATTGGCTTGGGATTCATGCACACACAAGGCATGCACGTGTATGTACCAGAGTTATTCACTTGCCACAGTTATTAGAGTTTACAAACTTAAGATTCATCCAACTTCTCACACCATTTATCCAGTGAGTTACCAAGTCTTATTCATTTTTCTTCTGCAATCTGTCCCTTTCTCTCCTCTCATCCAGCTACCATTCTAGTTTACTATTGTCTGGACAATAACTTCCTAATTTCCTCAAATTTCTCCCATCTCCACTCATCTGCCAAAGCATTATTCCCAAAGCACAGATGTGACCATTTAACTTCCCTACTCCCTATTCTCGCTAGGATCAAATAATTTCTCCTCCTCCTTATTTAAAGTCCTTTGACACCCAGGCTCCAACCCACTTTCCAGCCTTATTTAAACATTAACCCTCATCATGTCCTCTGTTCAGCCATCTATGTCTTGCTATTCCACACACTTGACACTCCTCATTCCCCCACTCTCTAGTTTTCTTTTGAAGTTTAGGTCAAATTGACACTTTTTACAGGAGACCTTTCCTGTTCCCCCAACTGCTAGTTCTTTGCTCCTTGAAATTACCTGATCTACTTTGTGTATTTATGGGCACACATTTTTCTCTCCATAAGAACACAAGTTCCTTGAGGGTGGTGATTGGTGTGTGTGTGTGTGTGTGTGTGTGTGTGTGTGTGTGTGTGTGTATTTTGTTTGTTTTTTTTTCTTTTTGGTTTCTGTTTCTCCAGTGCCTTGCTTTGTGGCACATAATAACATTTGATAAATGCTTTTTGGTTGATTGAAAACTAGAATCTTTGATTGGTAACTGGGTCTCCCATGCTCCCGTGTCCTGGGGACAGCTAGGTGGTGCTAGACCTGGAGTTCAAATCCAGCTTCATAAGCTAGCTATGAATCCTGGGCTGTGAGATCTGTCTACCTCAGTTTCCTCAACTATAAAATGGGGATATCAGTAGCACATACCACCCAGTGTTATTGTGAGGATCCAATGAGAAAATAGCTGTAAAGACCCTGGCACATTGTAGGTAATTAATAAATGCTTGTTTCCTCCTTTCCTGGGAACCCAGAGGTTTTCACCTTTCCTGGGGAAAGAGAGAAGCATTAGAATACATTGAGGTAATTTAGTTTGCATTTCTTGAGGGATAACAATCTTACAATGGGAATAAGCAGATGAGGCAGATTCATATTGATAAGAAAAGACTTTCCATGCAGATATTCATGCAGACAAACAGGAAATTTTCAAACATTAGGGAAGAGATCTCAAGTTCCTAAAGGCTCCAATTAAGGAGTTGAAGTATCTCCTTGCCAGAAGAGATGCATGGTTTGGTCTGCTTAAGGGCTTGGGTCTGCAGCTGATTGGTTGTACTGCATCTCTGTCATCAGAGCTGAAGTTTTCTGGTCCCTGACTTTCTCTGCTTTGGGTAGTGTTCGATATTGGAAGTCTTCTCTTATTTTCTTCTCTTACCAATTTTCCAACTTGGTTTTTGTTCCTCTTTACATTATCTTCAAGTCTCACGCTGACTTTCTGCTCCTCCTTTGAGGCTTACCAAAACCCTGCAAAAGTAGGATATGATACAATTATTGTTTTCCCCTTTTTACAGATAGGCTCAGAGATAGATAGTCAATGTCAGAGGTGAGATTGGAACCCAGGACTTCATAATACCATATTCAGCAACCTAACCCTTGTACCACATTGCCTCCAGTTATAATTTCTTAGAGTCTGCCAAGGTGGTAAGGGAGGAAGAGCTCAAGGTCAATGGTTGGATTTAACTAGTGGCCACCAGGGAAGTTGACTCACACTGACAAAGCCCACAAAGGTTATGAAACTAGGTTTTTGTTGTTGTTATTATTGTTGTTGTTTTTATTCCTTTATAGCATGCAATATCTGGGCCAAGCAAAATGGATATTTATGTCAGCCAATCAGTTCTTTCTCTTCCCTGCAGGGAAGCAGATTTGACAAACTGAATTAAGATCAGAAGATTGCTTGGTAAACCTGGAATCTTAAAGAGCTGAATGATTTTTTTTAAGGCAGTTGGGGTTAAGTGACTTGCCCAGGGTCACACAGCTAGTAAATGTCAAGTGTTTGTTCTGAGGCCAGATTTGAACTCAGGTCCTCCTGAGTTCAGGGCTGGTGCTCAATCCACTGCGCCACCTAGCTGCCCCTCTGAATGATCTTAAGATGTGTTTTTGGAAGCTCACCTAAGGGTCCTATATACCTAAGAGTGCTCTAGAAAGATTCACCTTCTTAACTCTGTTTAGGGGTCCTTTCCTTGTCCTGTTCTGCAGTTTTCATTTCGATAGACTTTACAATTCTCATGTTTCCATAAGATTCTTCAGGAAATATCCCTATTAATAAAAGAAAAATCAGTACAACCAACCAAATTTACTTAGCAGAAAGTATCAACAATTTTTAGTCACTCTAGGGTCTGAAACAGTTTATCATCCCATAGTGCTGAGTTTTTTGGGTTTTGTTTTGTTTTTTAGAAAATAAACACAGCAGTTACTCATAATCAAAGTGCATATGCATTTTTTGGGGGGAGGGGAACACAAACTTGTAGTTTGATTAACTATTTCAATATAATTATTTTCTGGATTTAAAAACATTCTGAAGAAGGTTCCATAGGCCTCACTAGACTGACACATAAAAATCTAAGGATTCTTTCTCCCTTCCACTGGAGCTTGCCTTGTACAGGAGGCAGAGGAGATAGCTATCCTCTAAGCCAGAAAGATTGGGTTCAAGTTTTCCTTCTGACATTTGTGCTGTGTGACTCCCGGGGAAGTCTAAGCAATTCTCTCACATCCAAGTTGCAGAAAAGGCACCGACCTGCATTTGTGGAGGGAGTTTCCTTACCCAGGAGTTTCCTATACCAATGAAATCACAGGTCTCCAGACCATACCTGTGGTCATAGTGTGAATTCTATTCAACTCATTTGGCATGATCTTAGATATTTAGAACTGAAAGAGACCTTAGAGACCAGTGAGTCTTAAAAAAAAATCCCCTCATTAAAAGAAATTCTTTTTTTAACTGAAGATCCACCTACTCTTTCACCCCCTACTCTTCACCCCTTCCCCTACTGAGAAAGCAAAAACAAAACAAAACAAAAAAAACAACTCACTCATTTAAAAAAATTAATATTTTATTTCCCCCCAATTACATGTAAAAACAATTTTTAACATTCGAGTGTTTGTTTGTTTGTTTGTTTGTTTTGCAAGACAGTCAGGGTTAAGTGACTTGCCCAGAGTCATACAGTTAATAAATGTCTAGTATCTGAGGCTGGATTTGAATTCAGGTCCTCCTGACTCCAGGAGGTGGTACTCTATCCACTGTGCCACCTAGCTACCCCTACATTCTTTTTTTTAAATCTTTGAGTTCCAAATTCTGTTCTTCCCTTCTCCCCCCCCTCATTGAGAAGGCAAGTAACTTGATATAGGTTATACATGTACAGCTGTTCAAAACATATTTCCATGTTAGTCATGTTGTGAAAGAAAATACAGACCAAAAAAACCTCCAAGAAAAGTAAAGGAAATAGAGAAAAAGTATGCTGCGGTCAGACTCTACCAGTTCTTTCTCTGGAGATGGATAGCATTTTTCATCATAAATCTGTCAGAACTGTCTTGGATCATTGTATTGCTGAGAATAGCTAAGTCATTCACAGTTGATCATCATACAATATTGTTGTTACTGTATACAGTGGTGTCCTGCTTCTATTCATTTCACTTTGTATCAGTTCATGTAAGTCTTTCCAGGTTTTTCTGACAGCATCCTGCTTGTCATTTCTTATAGCACAATAATATTCCATCACAATCATATACAACAACTTGTTCAGCCATTCCCCAATTGATGGATATCCCCTCCATTTCTAATTCTTTGCCACCACTAAAAGAGCTGCTATAAATATTTTTGTACGTGTGGGTTCTTTTCCTTTTTGGTTTTTTCATCTCTTTGGGATACAGATCTAGTCCAACTCACTTGTTTCACAGATTAGAAAATTGAGGCCTAGAAAGGCTAAGTGATTTGCCTGATTATCACACAGCTAGTAAATGGGTGTAGCAGAAGGAATATTTGAACTGAGAGTCTTTGGCCCCAAATCCAGCACAGGCTTTCTCCAAATTTCTTTGTATACTTCATACATGTTTTTAATTGCCTTATAGCATTCCATTACATGAATGTGCCATGCTTTATTTAACTATTTACCTATTGTTGGACATTTAGATTGTTTCCAGGTTTGTTTTTTTTTCTTTTTTGTGATCGTATATCATGATATTATAAAAATTGTTGCATAGATAGCACTTCTTTTTAACAAAGCTTTCAAAAGTACATTCCTAGCAGTGAATTGTTTGGTCCAGAGGGATGATTATTTTTGCCAAATTTGATTAATGTACATTTTAGGCCTCCAGTAGACCAATCAGGGCCTTGATCTGATCGGTAAACAAGGATGCATTTCTGCTGGGGACTTTCCTTGTTTAAAAGTTAGCTCCATTTGTCTGCCCTGCCCCTTAAGAGGTAATGACTTTAGAGCTTTAAGAGTGTCATTTAGAATCATAGGAAACAAAACTGGAAGAGACCTTGGGTACCACCTTGACCTTAGATTCAGAGATTGATTATTCGAGTTGAAAAAGGACCCTAGAGATTATCAGATCTGACCCCTTCATTTTATAGATGGGGAAACTGGAGTTTTTAGGGGAAAAATGGCTTGTCCAAGTTCAGACTGGTATCCAGTAACTGACCTTTTCTCTAGATTTAGAATTTATCTCACCTTTTGAGACCACTAACCACCTGGGAAAGGCAGGAACCATTTGTTTGCCAGTACCCTTCCTGGTAATCAATTACTTTTGTTTTATTTTATATTTTAGGCAATTGGAGTTAACTGACTTGCCCAGGGTCATACAGCTAGTAAGTGTCAAGTGTTTGGTCTGAGGCTGGATTTGAACTCAGGTCCTCCTGACTCCAGGGCCAGTGCTCTATCTATTGTGCCACCTAGGTGTCCCATCAATTACTTTTAGAAGATAACTTTTCAGACACTAGCTTTTACACAAAAACTGATTAGCTTGGGGACCCTCAGTGTCAAATGAAGTATAATTCGTTAAAATTTAATAAGCATTCTTCCTGGTGGAATCAGCTGATCTTAGATGATCATTTCCCCTCCCTCTTCCCCAAGTCCATCATGAGGTTGCTTCAATGAATTGTTTAAGTTTTATTGATACTTCCTGTTTTTATGTCAGCCATTTATAAATATGACCTTACTCAGGGAACCTTCCCTTGTAATAAAGAAGAAAAAAAACGTTAAGCAAAGCCAGCGGCATCTGACAATATAATCAGCATTCCACTTCCCCAATGCAATGAGAGTGATGAAATTTTTCGTGTTTTCTCAGCTAAGATTGGTCTTTATAATTACAGTTTTGGCTTAAAAGTTAATATAGATTTGGGGGAATTTACAGGTCACTCTCTCCTTTATTTTTCCATTGCCATGATGTGACAACAACTGATTTAACAGCTATATGGGATTGCCTTTTTGACCTACTCACTGCATTCTCTAAAGTGCTGGCCGTCTTTGGTATTGACAACTATAGCCAGATAAGAGTTTAACCAAAAGAGTCTAACCCTTCTCAGGAATGACCGACAGTTATATGTGGTTTGTGGGTTTCTCCCTTTTTATCATTTAGGGAGATGTCAGCTTTTAGTGTCTCATTTTCCCTGGGTGATTAGAGAGCCTGGGAAGGATGTTGAAAGTTGGCAACCTGAGTTTTCCCACTGGTTGACTGTTTACATTGGCTTTCTCTCTTCCTAACCCTTTACCACAGATTTGGAGAGGTTCTCTTTGCTGTAGGTCAGTCAGTGACAGCAGTGGCCTGGACCTTAGATGAGTGAGGTTCCTAGAACTCCCTGGAGAGGTAGTTTTTTTAATTTTAATTTTTTGGTTAGTCATTTCAGTTGTGTCTGGCTCTTCATAACCCCATTTGGGGTTTTCTTGGCAACGATACTGGAGCAGTTTGCCATTTCCTTCTCCAGCTCATTTTACAGATGAGGAAACTGGGGCAAGCAGGGTAAAGTGACTTGCTCAGGGTCACATAGCTAGTAAGTGTCTGAGGCTAGATTTGAACTCGGGTCTTCCTGACTCCAGATCCTTGCTCTATCTATCCACTATGCTACCTAGCTGTAGAGAGGAGCAGCCTTTTGAAATGTTCAGAGGCTTAACTCTCTGGGGAGATTGTCCAGGCCAATGGTGGGGAACCTGTGACCTCAAGGCAGAGGGCTGCACTTGAGGAGCTAGAGGGCCACATATAGCCTTGAGGCCGCGGGTCCCCACCCTTGGCCTGGACAGTTCTTCCAGAGCCCATAATTCATTCCTCCCCCTTTCCCACCTCTTGAAGTTCTACGGATGACCTCTGGGGATAGAGGGGGAATGTGGAGGGATAAGACTGTGGCTTGGAGAGAAAAGTTTTCACTTTTTTTCTTGGCATAGTAGGGTGTCAGATCTGGGACTAAATCTAAATCCTACCTTAGATATTAACTGGGTGTCACTCAACCTCTAAGAAACTTAGTTTCTGCCTCAATAAAAAGGGATGATAATACCCATTTTATATGGGCTGCTTTAAAGAATTCTTGTACAGCCTCAGACCAAACACTTGACACTTACTAGCTGGGTAACCCTGGGCAAGTCACTTAACCCCAATTGCCTTAAAAAAAAAAGAATTCTTATTAAAGATCCTGGACCCAGGCAATTTGAAATGTTAAAATAGTAAAGTAAAGGAGTCCCCTTTTGGGGACTTTAATTATGTTCCATTATAGATGCTCAAAGACAAAGTACATAAAGCACCCATTTGGGAACTAGGTTACACTGAGGAATCTTTTCGTCTTATTTGGTTGGGCAGGCTTAGTTAGCCACAACCTCTACATATAAATGTGAGTTGCTTAGTATTTTTTTTTAAGTCATTCCTAAATTCTCCAAACCTAGTCTTTGCCACTCCAACCTCCAAGAATGATGAGATTTCTGATCTGAGGATAAGTGACTGAATTCCCAGCAGGACCACTCTCCCTTTTTTTTTTTTAAACAAATAGGCTATGGCAGCTCCTTCCTCAATTTTTGTCTTTTTGGGCTCTTAGAATTTCATGACACACAAATGCTTCACTTAGACATTTCCTCCCCTTCAGCCAGTTCCTTCTCCATTTGTCTTGTCTGCTCAGTGAACGTATAGAGAGACCTATCAGTCATAGAAACATAGGAGCATGTTAGGTGGTTCAGTGCGTAGAGTGCTGGGCCTGGACAAGGGAAGGCTCAGCTAATCCAATCTTTTCGCAGAAATGAGGCCCAGAAAAGCTAAGAGAAGTTGCCCAAGGTCGCATG